CGTGTGCTCTTCCGATCTCCCCCCGTGACACTCGATAGAGTAAGACTTCTTCCCTGTCCATGTTTTTCTCACTTGCGTTTCTTGCCTTCTCGGAAGAAGAGGGAGATTTAGATTCGTGGACGTTGATTTATCCTCTTTCCTTTCTTCGTTCCTTCCTTTCTCCCTCCGGTTGCCCCTCCCTCTCTCGCTACGACGCGATGTCCAAACGGTTCCAGTTCAGACTATCCGGATGCTTCCTCGACGAGAGGGGGATCGTGGATGGGCTGCTGCTCCGCGGTATCTACCGGTTCCCAGCGCTCTCTGACGACTGAGCAACCGCCGCGGGATTGTGACTTGTCTCGTACTCCATCACCTCCTGATAGATCAGCTCCTTCCACTGGTCCACCGTGTGTTCCCTCTCGTCCACGCTATGGTCATACGGACCTGGTGCGGGCTGCAAAACACATCAGATTGTCTTGTGAATCATTACACATAAGAAAGATTAATAACCAATTTCGCATTTAATTAAAGCAAACGAGAAGTACATATATCTTGTTAAGAAGGATTTCTTTATCACGCCAAAAACAACTGTTTGCAATCACATTTATTGGAATTATTTTTATAATTAATATTTTTAAATAATATATTTTTTGGAGATACAAGATTTTAATTTCTTAAATTAAATCAGTGGCCGCGATGAATTCTACGGTTTTTGGAGAAGGCAGTTTGGAAGCGACTATCCATTCACGCAATCAATCGATAGAGCCTACTTACAGCATTGACTTCCCCCTCGTCGTACCAGACGTTTATGTAATTGTGCAGCAACGCCTCGTCTACAGAAATGCGTCGCTCCGGGTCGATCACGAGCATGCGCGACAATAGATCCCTGGCTTGGCTCGCTAGAAGAGGAAATAAAAACTGTGAAAGGAAGAGCCAGAGGGAGGCAAGGCAAGGCGGTGACGAGAATGCGGATAATCTCATCGTCCGCGCGCCGGAACGCGCGCGTCCCGCGATCAATCTCGCGACGCGGGGCGTCGACTTGCTGACCTACTCACCTTTTAATCTATTGTGTTCCGAGGAGTCCGAAGGGAATAGGACGTCCGGAAATAGCCTCTCGAAGGGATAGCCTGGATATCGCGGCCTGTTCTCCACGTAGTTTCTGACGGTCGGCTGCAGCCGTTGCATGAATTCCTGCGCCGGTGTGCCAAGTTGTTCTGCAGATAAGAGCAACTATCTTAATTTTACAATACAACGGCAGCTGCGAGACAATCGCGATTATCTCTTTTGTGATAACATTAAGAAATCTTTAAGACCACAATTATCCTGACTACAAAAATTATTAGGAACGTATATAATGTGATTGTTATCTGCTTATAATAAAAAAAAATGTCATAGAATTTGTAAAGTATTTATAATTATATTTTTATAAAACGGAAAATGTCAGACAGTTGATTAGATAATTACTATAACCCTTACAATCAAATATATTAAATAATAACTGACTGATATTGAATAATAACTGAAAAATATTGCTGAGTGTTAATGCATATAATTTTATAGATTCTAGTAAAATCATTTGTCATTTTATATTTTACTTGACTCTGACGACACATTTACAATGTGGATTATTATAATAACAACATGGAATTTTGTTTCATCCCAAATTTAATTCTGTTCTCTACAATTTAAAAGACAATTTTAAAGATTTTATTTTATAACATCGGATTGTTACAAACTATCATGATCAGTATTATAATTATTGTTGTAACGAAAAATTCAGCCTTACCGATTATTTTGTTCCACTGATCGATGTGATCCGTGCCCGGAAACAGTACGCCACCGCGTATCATTTCGCCCATGATGCACCCCACCGACCAGATGTCCACATTCTCCTTGTACCCCATGCCCAGAATCACCTGGCGAAAAAAAACAAACAGACGGAGTGAGCGAAAGGATCGAGCTAACCGCAAATAAATTGTACGAAAAATTACAAGAGAACTCACCTCTGGCGCCCGATAATACCGCGTGACGACATAGGGCGTCATCATGAATGTGGTACCGGCGGTCCTCGCCAAGCCGAAGTCGAGGATCTTTAGCGTGCAGTCGGATTTTACGACAATGTTGCTCGGCTTTAGATCCTACGCGAGAAGCAAAATCGAATTTTACAGATTTATCTCGAGAATCATCGAAGGGGAAATGATTAAAGCGTCGATAATGAGAATTAAACTCGCGAGAGCGATCGATATAATAATCGCGAAGTTATCACGTAGCGGAGTCGATCACAAGACGCTATTCTACAGCTGTATATAAATTTTAATTTCTAGAACGTTAATTTACGCAGATAATCCCGCAATCGTTGCGCCGCGTTCTCATTTTTAATGAGAACGCGCGACGCCGCCGGTTTAGCTATTCTATTATAACGCGCGGCGCGTCGGGAAATTAATCGGAACGACGGCAGTTATTTCTTTCGCCGCGGCGCGGGACAACAGCAGCCACGGGGCCACGGGTATGCAGGAATGGCCGTCGCTAATGAATCTCGTTACGGTAGATTAAATGGCCCCGCCCGTTATGCAATTTTCATCGGGGCGCAACGCGCGAACGGCGTACGTCACTCACCCTGTGAATAATGCCGGCGGAGTGTAGGTGCTTGATGCCGCACAGCATCTGGTAGAGGAGGTACGACATACGCTCGTGGTCCAGATCCATCTGGATCACCTGGCACAGGTTCGCGTCCATGAGCTCCATCACCAGATACACGTCTTGAAACTCGTCCAGCGACCGTTGCGGCGTGAACGCGTTCAGGAGACCGATTATCTGCAAGGCGACAAGTCGTCGTAAATTGACGAATCGATTTCGATTCCTACGAGATCCTTGGGCAATGCCTGGACAACGACGAATAACAATGAATTACGAATGAAATTTGCTCTCCTTACGCTACTTTTTCTCAGACTTTCTTTCTTCAGATCTCAAGGGCTTTAACTCTCTCCCAGAGTTACGTGAAACTCTTTCCGTTGTTATTCCATCTATTCAACCCTCTTTATTATGCTCTTCTTGGTATCGAATTAAAAGGAATGGGATTGAAATAAATTTCAGCAAATCGAAACCCGATTAAGACGTACACTTATTGCATGGACTTACTTTACTTTTAATTCCTATTATTACTTCTCAACTTATAACTTCTTTAACGAACTATGCTCTCGGAAAATTGTTCGATGACAAGGACAAATTACGACTGCGAATACGACGAGAAAAATAATGGCTAGAACCTGTGCAGTTTTCTTCCACATTTCTACTTAATTTTATTAAAACAAACGGCAATGAAAAATTGTCCTTACACATTCACTTGTACAACAATAAATTATAGCACAAAGCGCAATTACAATTCTCGCGAAATAATGTTACATATCGAGGTACATGCTGCACATCAGCGTTTTATTTAGCAACAAGAATTGAGTGATATTAGACACTTATAATTCATCGCGATCTCAGAAAAAGATTGCACGTATGCGACAACACGTGACACGTGCGTGTCTAAAGAGTATCTGCGTGTCACGAACTGAGAGAACGGAATGGAATTAGATTTAAGGGAAAAACGTACGTTTTTGTGATTGACCAGCTTCATGAGCTTGAACTCTCTGTAGGCCCTCTTCGCGTGCGTCACGTTTTGAAAAGGTCTGGACAGCTTCTTGATCGCCACATTTTGCGCAGTGACGGTGTCGAACGCCGCGCTGGAACACAGATGAAAGAGAAATTCAAGATCGTTCGATCATACGAGCGACTTCATCGAACTAAATGCATCGAACTGAAATAAATAATTAAAAGTGTGAATAAATAATCCGTCAATCAAAAATTTTTATCTAAATTTACTTTATTTCTAGTTGCGACAAGTCTCAGCCTATATTCCGTCCGTGTGGCACAATGTAAATAAGATTCAATAAGATTTCTCTAATTTAATAAAATAATAAACATTAATTTTCAAATACACAGGGTGTCTCGTCACTACCGCATTATCTCTTAAAAACGTGTCCTTGAGATAATTTGGAGACGAAAATCCTAATACAAAATGAGGCTATAAAAGTTTTATAAATTAGTAGCGATTAAAGTTCTCGAATCACAGAACACTGACATTTCGCGCGCTCAAACATGTCAATATGACAAATGTCGATATGACGAGATAAATGAATATAGTTATGAATTTATTTTGACAGCTCGTAATATTTCACTACAAAAAATTATTAATATTTTATAATATGTTTTGATATTAATTACGCATACGTTATGTCCATATAGAAGCACAAACAATTTCTTAATAAAAATATCATTACATATTCGTACAATAATCTCGACGTGCGGAAATGCGGTAGTGACGGGATACCCTGTATGTTAATAAAAATATTTTACGAAAACAAATTGTTTTAACAGAAACAACTATTTTAATAAAAACAAAGTACAGGTATTTTATGAAAAAAATTTCTCGTATAATTAATGTACAAAATAATAAATTCACAAAAATTTAATTAAAAAAAAAGAATATCGTGAAAAATAGCTATACTGAAATAATAACAAGAAGATATTATTGCGAGAGCACAAAGGTCAAAAGAATATCTACCAAATTTTCAGCGACGGCTGCAGCGAATTTAACGCACCTGGACGTGATATAAACACTACCACGCTCTTTGACATAACATAAAATACTGTATTAAGGTCAGTGAAAGAGACAGAAAAATAGACACTCACAGCGTGATCTATATGTATATGCGGGTCGTGGATTTTACTCACCAGACGATACCCTGAGCGCCGACGCCACGCGGTACGACGTCGACGTATCTCTCGGGTATGCAGAGCTCAGTGTCGCCGAAAATGTGTCGACGATAGCCACTCCGAATGTTGCTCAATTCCGTTGCGTTCGTCGCCATTACCTCTTTTTTAAATGTTCTTTAAGTCTCTCTTTTTCTCTCGCTCTTGCTCTCTCTCTCTCTCTCTCTCTCGCTCTCTCCCTTTCTCTCTACTTTCTTTCAAACTCGTGGCGATTCCCGTGCCTTAACTTAGGTAGTGTATATTATGGCTTTAGAGCTACCAAACCAACGACACAAGGACTATAGGATACAGGAAAAAAAGAAACGATCAAGCAGATCGCGGCGACGGAGAAAATTTATCGTCGCCAGGTTTCGACGACATTCGCGATCGAAAGCTCGTTTTCAGTGATTAAATGGCGCAAGTTACAAGTTCGTAATGGAACCCAATTATTATTGTTAACATCACAATTTATTAAATAAGAAAAGAAAAGTAAATCCACAACAATTAACGTCGTTATAATTTACGTTACGAATAATAAAATTTATGTACATTTATGATATTTGAAACTCTTATTTTGAAGGCATTTCTTTTAATTGATATTAAAAGCTTATACTCTTCCAAATCCATTTGTTGCGAAATGGATCACCCAAAAACGTAAATTAAAATACGTCCGTGCCGGCAGATGACGAATTTAATTTTATTATTTATCGCGAAAATGTAGAAACTTGCCGAAAGATACTAAATTATATTTTGCACTTTGCGTTGCAAAACGCGTCGCGTTTCGTTGAACGTAATTTTTCTCCGTCGACCGCCGCAACAACGTCACCGACAGCAGTCTCAAAGGACAAACGAGCGTGATGTATAACTGTTGGAACGCGCTCGAGTTAGGCCCGTCGTTCCACCTGGCAATCCTTCAAAGATCTCTCTCTCTCTCTCTCTCTCTCTTTCTCTTCCTCTCTCTTTCTCTCTCGTATTTTCCTTCGAGAACAGCGTCGCGCGAATTTCGTGCCTGATTGTCGGAACCATCCATACAATCTAATGCTCTTTTCTTCAGCGTGCGACGTACTCTTGCGAGATCAGACCGTAGCATATATTTTGCGCCAATCGTGTCAATCGTGAGTGAATCGGTGGTGCGAGAGTAGTAGATGGATCCAAAAACCATGCAAGGATAAGCAAATCGGCAAAATAAAAAAGTAGAAATATAAAATAAAATTAAAATCACTAACAGAATTGCTGCGATACAGTTGAAAAGTTCTACACTGTGTATAGTTAATATTCTAAATTATGTTTATATATATATATATATATATATATATATATATAATATAATTTATATGCATACTTAAAATATAATTTATGTAAATAAAATATAATTCAAAAATATAATTATATTTTGTATATATATATATATATATATATATATATATATAAAATATAATTCAAAATATTATATACGTATACGGACAAGTTTTATAGAAATAAAATACAAAATTGAATGTGCATCCAGAGAAGTAAATAGTTTATTGAGCCACAAGTACTTTGTTTCTTGTAAGAAATAAATTTTAAGCTGCTATAAACTATTAGCTTTAATTTTTTCTTTTTTTTTTTTAATTATACTAAACATTAAATCAGACAATTATGTTAAAAAAAATCAACTCTCTAATTTCCAGTTCAATGTTATCTTACGCTTCAGACCTCAAATTAGATCACAAAAAAAGATCGCGATTTTACAATCTAATACATCGCAGGTGTGGCTCATTAAACAAACGCAATTTGTGAGTTCAATTATCAGTTAATGCAAACTGGAAAAATAACGAGCGATACCAGAAATATGCTGCTAGGAAGCATGTGAAAGGCATGCGGATCTTCTATCGAACATACAATCGTAAGTATGGGAGGGTTCTTCACGACAGAACATTACCTTCGTCTACCTTTCGAAATGTCGTGTTCGCCGGCCGAGACCGTTTCTTCATATGAGAGAAATCGTATTCGACGGCCGGTTAAACGCGATCAAACGAGCTCAGAACTCCTTCCCGCATCTCCTTGAACATTTCTGTGTACCTTGCAGCTTTAGGATAATGGTAAAAGCCACCGGGTATATTCGCGCAGTGATTTCAAGAAATCATTAACCTTTTCCCTCCGGAGAAGAAGCGATGTATCTGGGCTTTTTACAGTAAACTTCTGTCGTACGAATTGTAACATTTTTGCAAAAATGCAGCAAAGATTGTTACGCTATAAATTCGAGATCCTCTTCTTCAAAAGCATAATAATAAAAAAAGAGCACGATAAAAAAAACAATCAGGTCGTAAATAACAATAGTTTGACCCACTTCCTTAAAGAAACTAAGAAAAGTAATTTTAAAGTTTTCAGAAAACGAAATTTAGATTGATTTTCCGAATTCTCTTCAAAATACTGTGTTATATTTAAAATTTAAATATGATTATTTTAATGATCATTAAAAAATCTTAAAATATTTGGAATATATTGATCTTTCCATAAATTCAAAATAATGCATTTTGATAGGCTGTATAATTTTATAGGAAATAGGAAAATATTATTTGTGGAAGAATTTATAGATCATCTCTTTTGCTTTCTCTGAAATAATTTCGGAATGTGCATTCCTCTCGATACGTAAAACTTTCAGAACATATTTAATCTCCGAGAAACGCTACCAACTTGAAATACTCCTCAGTGGCATTTTACAGCATCATCCGGGATCCCAGCAGTATCAAGATACCTTTCGTAACTGCGAATTTTAATGGGTACTTTCACGAGGTCTTCACTATTAACATATTTTTTTTAGCCGCTAACATTTTATTACATTAATAAAAATAGCACTAGACCGATTATAATATTCTCTTTTTCACAGGATAATGAACATTTTTTAATATTAGCAAAAATTATCTCCGATATTCCTGATAATGCCAAGATTAATGTGCAGGTCACAGATTCCGCCGTGAATAATATCCGGCCGTCGTTAGCCGATTTCCTTTCGCAGTCTGACCTACCTACTTCCGTGTGCGCGAAATCAACCGTCCTCTTCGAGAGAAGAGCAGCTCGTTCCTCTCGAGGGGCGAGGCAAAACGAAAAGACATCTCGCATATTTTTCGTAATGGACTCCACGCCACGGCAGAATTTTTATCGAAAACCGATATCCGCATTCCCTTCGACCGTTCGTTCGTTCGACTTACCTGCTATGCCACGAGCCACCCGTGTATTGTTCGAGATTGCGCTTTCTCGGATAATGCACTATTTCAGTTCCTATCGGACGTCAAAGAAGAGACACGTGCGAGGCACCGAGAAGGCGATCCGGGGAACGATCATCGTGATGGACCGTACGATCGATAAAATGTGCGCCGTGAATTTCAACAATCTGCGAGTTCGGGGCATAGACCGGCCGTCACGCTAACGCCTTACGCCAGGTCGTTAATAGTCGGAACGAGAGAGAAAAGTGGGAACAATGGTTATTTGTAAAATCATCGGATCTATTAGAACACAAATTAAAAGTATAAGAACCTACCATTAGGCATTCTTCCTGCTTTAACAAAAACTTGAGAAAATCGATAGATATATTAAAGTTGAGAAACTCAAATTTAAGTAAATTTCTCTCAAGTTCTTAAGAGGATGTAAATTATAAAATGCAGAGAGTACTTGGAATTTTACTATTTCATGCTCTAATTTTACTTTTGGAACGTTAAAGGGAGGTCGCAATTAGCGAACGGTCGCAGTGATATCGCGAGAGACAAATCATATTTAAATTCAACGTTTCATAAATCGATCCGTAAAAACGGAGAATAGGAAACAGTATTAAAAAAAAAAGCAGAACATTCTATATTATTTTAATTTTAAATTTCAATTCCAATCTTTGATCACAGGATTTCTTTCTTCTGTTTGTATATCTTCTTTCTCCTACTATTTATTCTTGTCGAGTTTTATATCTCTTTATGCTGTTACAATTCCATTAACTTCCCATCGATCGTTGCAACGTCTAAATACCCTGCAGATATGAAGGGAGCATGATGAAATCTATTCAGTGCTCGGATGTTGACGAGAAAACGAGCGTCATCGATTTAATTCGCCTCGTCTGAAGATTGAGTATCGACGGCAAGCACGACGACGAGAGACGCCGTGAAACTGTCGTCGAGGGCGATTTTTCCGACATCACGCCGCCGGCTTACAAGGAAGGGGCGTTCTGCCTCTCGTCGACGTCGCTCCCTGTCGCCGGAAACCCACGTACTCTCGCGAAATCCCGACGTTCCCTCTCGTTCCGAATCGAATTGCCCGATTCAACTCTGCCTCCCCACCCTCCCCCGTTCCTTCTGCACGGATGGTTTTTCCTTTGCCGTCGATCTTGGTCGGTCCCCGAGCGCGAATAAGAAAAATCGTAGTTAACCCTCTTTTCCCCCTTCTTCAAGATATATGTCGACGTAGCGATACAACGTACGCCCGACTTCAAAATCCACCTCGAAACTTTTACGTCCGATGGATGCCGACATTGTTATCAATTGTATACGTACCGAAGGTAGACGACATTATTTTACCCAGGAAATATCATATAAGACATATCATAGCGGAACGTAACAAACATCACGCGCGATAGATAGAATTTTTCATACGGCTGCGTATTCGATATCGGACGTTGCAGGATGGGTATAATATCTCTCTTTTTGAGTTCTCTTCAATTATTTTATCATGTTTTATTCTCTCGTGTAGAATCGTTAGAACGTATGGGGGGGGGAGGGGGGATTTCACTGGGATTTCGTTGAGATTTCTGAGGGACGATTCGCCGTTTCGCACGGCTCGCATGTGTCTCTCTTTGATTCTATAATCTAATAATTCCAAGAAAAAAAAACTATCGAATTACAACAGCTATTAAACTCACCAGACTATCCCCTGCGCGCCCGACCCGATAGGCTTGAGATTTTGGTAGCGCTTCAGGATGGTGAACTTGGTGTCCCCGACCTCGACCGTGTAGAACATGGCGGACAGCCGGGTTGTCATATCAGGCCCCAGGTAAGGCATGCGCCTCGGTGTTCGTCTCTCCTGCTGCTGCTGCACCTGCGCCGCCGCCTGCACCTGCACACCGTCCACCCCGCTGGAGCACTCCTGGTGCGCTCGACGGGGACTTACGCTCTTAGCCACTTTGGACGCGCGATTTTCAGGGCACCCACGGAATAGTAGCGGTGACGATGCTGGCGGGTGTTTCTTCCGCTGGGCTGCGCCGCGCGCCTGCGAGTGCCAGGTCAGACCTGCGGCAGATCGCGCCTCAGCACGTTGCTGCCCGTTGAGTCCCTACGTGCCCCGGAATTGTCTGCAACGAGAAAAGGAGACGAAAGTTCGCATAAATCCGTTTTTTCCCAACTGCCAATTGTTAAATTATTCGATATTATTTATCTCATACAAAAATTGTACAAATCTTCAAAATGTAATAGATGAACTGAAGTGAAGCTGTTGTCATTTATTATGATTTAATAGTAACTTTGGTAACAATAGAACTGAATTTTGTCAAGAAATTAAAAAAAAAAGAAAAAGAAAGAAACTCTTGCAAAAGTGTGACATTTCACATGAGGATTTCACGTAATCTAATAATAATTCTCTCAAGGACGCAATGTTCAAAGAGCACGCGACATATGACGCAAAATTTGCAGCGTCGATAAATCAAAACTATATCATTTGTGTAAGTTTAATCAACGTCATTTACGCAGGTCTGTGCATGACTGGCTTATGCGTATAATAAACGTATTAATCAATGTCAAGGAAACGCGATGCAAAAGTCAAAGGTCGAAAATGAGTTCGTTTACCTTCCATCACCGATTACGAAAGCGAATTATTCTGGCAAAAAAGAAAAGATCGAGGCTCCAATTCGCATCGATTATCGTATTTGGATTCAGATGATAATGAAACGCCAGCCGTGTCCAAAATCACAGAATAGCGCCGAGGTTTGAAATGACTCACAATATTTCAATGACGCTCGTGCATTCGAATATATTCAAGTACTCGCTGAAAAACCATTTTAATGTTTCCGTGGCTTATGTATAAAGCCAGTTTGGAACCCGCCTTGAGCTCATTCTTTGGATCAAACCTCAACTCAGCCAAGATTCAATGAACATCCACTTAGGATCTAGCTAAAATTCAGGATTCAGTCTGAATCTAAAATTGGATCCAACTTGAACCAGTTTTACATTAGAGAGCGAAAAAGAATCCTCTTCAAGACTATGCAAAATATATATTTTACATATTTCTTTAAATTACAGTTTTACGATCAATATTTTTGAACAAAATATTCAAGTAAGAAAAACATTGTCAATCTGTGATGCCAGTTTATCGCCACTTTGTAATTGTTATTTTAAAAAAATATTACCATTGACAACATTCACGCATTTATTTCAATTCATCTTGTTTATCCTACACTTAATACGTACGTAGTTATAATAAATGAAGTTTTCAATGATCATCATATGGTATATTATCAATCATAATAATAGGATATAAATTATTTGACAAGATCGCAATTTGTTTTCATTCAAGGAAAATTGATGTAATATCGACTCACCTATACAAAGAGCATGTTTGCGAATACTTTTTGCTTAAAATTTGAACCTCGTCCATCACGTCAGCGATGCAGATGAGGGGAGAAACGAAAGCACCTGTTGTCTTTCAAATTCGAAAGTCATCCACTTGTCCATTATCTTTCGTTCTTGGTCGAAGAACTCGAAAACGAGAACCGTTACCGAAACGAAATGTATATATTTGTTAGGAGAAATTACGCTATAAGAGCAACAAAACACAGTGCAATTGCACAAATGGAATCGTTTCTTATCTTAACTTTCTACATTTTTTCGAATAGATATAAAAGAACAAACATGAGAAACAGCTATCAAGAGAGTCGGTACAATCAATTTTATGGAACCGTTGTTTTGTTCTGTTTTTTGGACTAACAATAAGTACAAAAACGAATAAAAGGATAAGTAAAATAAAAAATTTTTATCTCTGTAAACCTAGCATCCCTAAAAAACTAATAAAAAAAGTTTGACTATATGCCATAATTAAGCTTATTCTACTAACGTTATTACTAATTTATTGTTCTACTAGTCACAAAAACCACGTACAGAGTACTGAAACGAAAAAAATAGATACACCAAAATTTTTTGCTCTAAGATCAAAACATCGAAAATTTTGAATAATTATTCCTTACTGTTGTATATGCGTTAGCACCGTCATACACCTGATGGATTTTTTAACTTACACAAAGAATATAATAAATTCTAAATTCGAAATATTTTAAGAGTCAAAAGATCTATTAATTTTGGCACATACATATAATAAGATATTTACATAACAAAATATTTATTATTATAAATTATTTATTTAAAAAATAAATATTTCATTAATAATAATAAATGCTATTAATAATACAACTTCTTATATTAAATATATCGGATCAAAATTTTTCAAATAAAAAAGCAGACTACCAAAATACACTTTAAAAATAATGATAAAAATAATAATAATAATTAATGAAATAAACACAAGTAAAGATTTAATAATTTACAATACTAAAACTGAAACAGAAGTTTCGAATGCAAAGGGTAAGCAAGAACTAGACTAGGGCACTGAACGGAGGTGGAGTGTCAAAGAGAAAATTCCTAACTAAAGGAGAGCAGGACAAGTAAAGATGTTTTCATCAGTTTGAAGAAACTAGCGCTCTATCAGCGAAAACCACAGCGAAAGGGAGATGAAGAGAGACGCGAATCCGAGGAATCCCATCAACGGGCGCAGCAGCGGCAGCTGAATAAATCGTTAAAGATAATAGTGCCTGTCGCTGGAACATGTGATAGAGAAGAAGAGCGACTATCTCTGTGGCATCTCACTCCGAGTGATCTGGGTCGTCTTGCCTCTGTACATCGTTGTCGAAGACTATAACCGTAGAAAAGCCAGCATCGCTACAACGTCCATCATCGTGTCGTTCTTCGATCGATCAACAAGAACGAACACTCTCACAACCGCGTACAAGCGATTGAACTTTCGAGCTTCGTGTGTAACGCGGCTAACCCAATTGCGTCCTTATTCAACGTTTGGATAATAAGAGCTCAGCCCTGTCAACTATCAGAGATATCAATCGATCAGAAAGAGAGAAAGAGAAAGAGAGAGAAATTGACAGAAATATGTGTACACGTGTGGCTTACAATATAGCACAAGAAAAATCAATTAAGTCCACTTCTGCTTAAAAAAGCGACAGCTCGATATTGGGAGATCTTAATCATCAACTACACATATAACAAGAGAATACACATTACAAGTTCTTAGTCAGTTATAAGTTATTTTGTAAATATGTTACAATTAGTTTGCGTATCAAAATATTACAATTGTTTTCCTCTTTAAATTAATTTTAATACAATACAATATATGACTTTTAGCTATTTGAATATAATATACTTTATACATAATAATTATTCTTCTATATTCTTTCTATTATTTATGATAATTTCAATACTGAAATGGCGAATCATTAAATTGCAATATAATATTACCGCGATGTTGCAACTCGGTTGACGACACCTCCGTCGCAGCGGCGAATACTTTCGCACGCGTGCTTTCGTGCGCGCCGATATCTCTTCTAGCACCTCGGGATTCCCCCGATTATTTATAGCAACTGTTGCAGACGTAGACCGACAACGCAACGACAACGACAACGACGACGACGGCGGCGGCGGCGGAGGCGGCGACGACGCCGACGCCGTGGTCGTACTTTTCGTGGTTGTCTGCACGGGCCAACCACCTTCCGTCGTTCGCCACCTGCTATCAATTACATATAAACACGTTGATGAACGTAAACACGCACGATCGGAACACGGAGGTTCTAAAGATGCCATTGCGAATGTAAAAATACTTGATCGATGTGTGAAAGCTTGTAGAGACGTTCGGAATTCAAAAGTTACAAGGATTAAGTACTAGGATGCTTGTCCGAGCTTTCGAAAGCTCGACGGAAAACACTCGAGGACCGCAAAGTTACGGAGGCATTCGATCGAGGATGATCGAGATAGAATCGACACTATTTGATTAAGCGAAGGTGATAAATTGCAAAACTTTTAGCATCTGAGGTCTTATCCGACGGCTTAGTTCTCTTGAGGTGCAAAGTTATACGGTTCGGGGTAGCGATCTTGAATTGACTTTTAAGGTTTTCATCATGGGTCAAGGTTTAGGCGGCGCGTTCAACCCCGAAGTTGCTTCGCAAATCTGAACGCGCTTCAATCAATTCTTACGTCAGAAAACATAATATGTACCTAATCATGATACTTTTATTCTAATAAAAATATCGTGATAAAAAAATATTTTCATTTTTCGTTCGCAACATTTCTCTCTCCCGCGCGGATAAACTTACTTCGTATTTTTCTGCATAGTGATGAAACTTGATGGATATTGAAGCAAAAAACATAGCGGATGGAAAACAATGCGCAGCCGGAAAAAAGGTGTTATTTTCGTCGGTTACGGAAACCACTTGGAGCCTTTTATGAAAATAGCAGCGAACTCTTGTGAATAGAAATACAAGGCTATGGAATTTTTACATACTTTTCAGCTCGGTGCTCGGTTGAAATAAAACTCCATAAATTGAATAAAAATATCGAATATACGTGAGCGTCGCATTTCTACAAGATTAACAGTTCCAAGCGGATTATTAATAAATTCAATGTCAATTTCTCTTCGACAAAAACACGAAAAAAAATTCACAATTTTCTCAATTACTAATATTTAAATTAAAATTAAATTTTAGTTAAAATTATATAAAAAGTAAAGTTCCATCATTCCATCTCGTATATGTACTTAAAAAAAAAAAAATCAATTTTTAACATGAAGCTTGTAACGCAAAAACTTTACGTTTTCATCTAAAAAAAAAATTGGTTTCCTGTTTGGCCAATACTCTACCATTAATTCAATGATTGATCTGGTAAAAAAGAAAAAAACACTCCTTATATAGATTATTGCACGATCTGTGCTTCATTTTTCGTCTCGACGTCTTCGAGTTCAAGTTAGGCGTGTTCCGAGAGAAACGCGACGAACATTGTCGCGCGACCATAATTCACCGGATAAGACGGATTTAAGAGAGTTCAGCTTCACGATGCTACTCTTGCGCCGGAGATGATTTAGCGCGGAGGAGACCGGATAGTTTCTCGCCTATCGCGCCTCTGATCTATCGCATTTAGAATGTACGAGAATGTACACGTTCGTTCGCGAGCGAAATTTATGTTTCGATTTGAAGAAACTTCCGGGATATATTAGTACCGTGTCATCGCCACCAGCGCCGTGCTTGACAAATACGGCGTAAAATGAGAATCTTTACGAGCCAGTATTTCTAAATTTATACGTGCAGCAAGAGAATATTACCTCCCTTTGATACCCGCCTGAACTTCTGCTGTGATACACTTTTTAAATATATTTAAAATTCGAAAGAAATGTCGCGCGATACATAATGTTATGCAAAAAAAAAATACTTAACATGTGAAAAATGTATACTATTAAAAAAAAAATGAAATATGTACTACGTGCACATTTACAAAACTTCGCGCATTCATATTTCTGACTTGATTTAACTAAAAGCATATTTTTCTCTCTGTAACTAAACTGCAAGCCGAGCTCGCTTCAAAAAGAGCCAAGCGTGGCAAATATTTGAACGGCATGAAGTATTGGCAGACTCTTCGTCGCGGCATACATTTGACGGCGAGCGTTTTCGATCGTAATCTATTTCAGTCGAATATTTTGAGCGTTGCTGGGAGGGAGAAAATTGATCGTCCGCGTCAGAAACGTCGCGCAAATTAATATTACCGTAACGTACACACACTCACCATAAACAGACGGCCATTGTGGATGGCGGCGGCGAAAACGTTGATACGCGCCCGTGCGGGACGGATGCGGAAGCAGGGATCTGCAAGCAGACAGAACAGAGACGTCCCTCAGAGAGCGTGTCGACAGGAATTTGCATGCATCCGCGGATACGTTAATGCCCGCACGCGCCGCCCCGCTCGCCGTGTGTATATGCACGCCGAGCGATGCGCCGAGTCCATCGATTCGCACGGGTGCTACTGTGCCACCGTGTAGCCTCCCTCTCTCTTTCTCTCTCTCTCTCTCTCTCTTTCTCTCTCGCTCGATACCGTTGCACCCCGTTGCGCCGCTATGCAAATCAATGGCGCACGTGCGGTGGCACGAGCCCCCTTCGACACAAAAACGCATTTAGCGCGGGATCAAACGACTCCGATATCGCGCGCGAAACAATTCTGTAATTCCATTTCATAAATCGGTACCGGGCACCAATCCCACAAAGCGCGCGGCTATCTCTCGCAATAGCCTTTATAAATTTATCATTATTATGTTACTATTAATGCACAGGAACGTTTGGCTGTCAACGGGGAAATAAACATTTTTTGAAAACTCCTTCCTTCTGGTCACAATGCCTTTTCATGATTGATGATCACTTTTTTTTTAGATTAAACAGGCGAGTTAAAATTTTTATTTCCGTCAGTTAATTTGCATGTCTTTTGTTGGAAAATTAGGTAATACACAATGGGAATATTTCGAATCAACGGACTGCCGACAGTACGATCTTGGTTTTACAGAAACGTTCGCCCGCTCGCAATCAGCGCGATTCGCCGACTCAATTACAGCGCGAATAATAGGGATTAATTATCGTTCTCGGCAGCTTGCCTCGCTCGCTTCTTGTTTCTCGCGGAATATTTAACGAAATCCTTCGGAAAACGATGCGAATCCATGTGCTAAATAATTAAGTTGGAATCGATCGTCTCGTCGGGAAATCGCAACTCAGCTAGAACTGTGCCTCATGAAAAATGCAGTGTCAATGCTCGATAATTCGCTAATGGCTTAATTATTATTCCTCTCCTGAATTTTTCAACTCCCGAGATACGCTCTACGCGGGAGAATAAATTAATTGAGAGTGGCGTATATTAATAAAATACACAAGTACAGTTGTGTTTAATTCCAGAAGTCGCGTCTCCCTTTGACGGGGATGTTCACGTCGATTTATTTCTGCGGGCGGTCTCGCCTAATACTCGTCCCACGAATTTCGGTGCTGAGAGAGAGAGAGAGAGAGAGAGAGAGAGGCTCCGCGTCCCGGGTAGGAATGCTGAAAAAGCAGCACGAGAGCGCTGGCCGGTGCGCGTTAATTCGAATATATACCGTGTCTAAAATTAATATAAATTAGCGCCGCCGTCGGCCCGCCGCGCGCCGAAATGCCAGCGTCGTTCCTGTAAATTGAGACAAGTCGCGCGCGGACCGCGACCACCGCGCGCGCGAGAGATGGTCCAGCTACTCTAAAGCGCCTTATAATGATCCCGTTGTTTCCGCCACCGCGCGTTCGCCAGATAGATACGCTCGCACCCGGACGGATTGCGAGCAAACGCGCACGATGTGAACAATAATGTTGAATTAAAAAATTCGTGGGCCAATTTTTTAAATTATCGCTTGTAAATCGTTGAAGAGGCCTCGAAAAGCGCGGTGTCAAAAGTGCGACACAATAAACTTCATAATTATAAAAAGAGATTATTACGTGTTGTAATAAATGCAAACATTTATCACTGAATAATAATTTCGTTATAATAATTACTCCTCCCGAAATGAGTGTGAAATTTGCACCGAATTGTTTTGCCGGATGGGTACGTCGAATTACACATCAGAATTGTAGAGGTAAACTCAACGTCAATCGTCGTCCGCACAAAAAAGAACATAATCCGCGAGCCGCAATTGCGTTCCAAACGCGACTCGCGTTAGTTCGCGTTACACAGAGCAACGCTAACCCGGATTGTTTCGTTAATCGAGTTTCAACGCAAAGAAGAGTTACAGCCCGCTGGCTTTGTGAAGCATACAGTAAACTGATACTCTGCGTTTGGTTTCGCTGGCAAAAATAAAAAAAAAAGATACGACGCGGTATGAAGGGAATAAAAAAAACTCGCAAACGCAGTTATACCGGCAAAGAGGATTACGCGATTCTCGCGCCGGAAATTCGTTTTTCACCGAGGAAGGCCAAAGGGTCAACGTCTCGAGTTACAAGCGCGAGTCGCAAAGTTCACGACTATAGTCGCTTTCGATCGGTTTTAATCTGCAACGAACGAGGCAGAAAAGCGGCGGTGGCGACTCGTGAAAAAGCCGTCCCTAAAGTGCCGTCGAGGGCGAGCACAGGGCGAATCCGTTCCGAAGGGTCCCGGAAGGTCGTTTCGGTTCGGCAGGGACATCTGCCGCCTTCGGCTTCTGGAGGAAACGATAAATAGCGCCGGGAAGCTACGAAGCTAGTCTTCTCAATTAACGACGATCGACGTGAATTGGGCACAAAGTGCTCTCTCCGATCGAGACACGATAAATATTTTCTCGACGGAATTATCGTAGGAGGAAGGTAGATCAGAGGTTTTCTGCGCCTCCCCCCGTGCTCTTCAAATTAAATGCAAAATTAAACGTCTTATTAGGAATCTTCATGAGAGCGAGAGTCTTTATTCAAGTATCTTGCGGAAATGTATACAAATTATAATACAAATTAAGTGAATTAATTAATATCCTTTATTTTTTAGGGAAAAGTAGTAAACTAAAAACTACAGGAATTCTAGAAATACACTTCCATTTCTAGAATTACATGTCTAAGTTTGGACGGAAGTTATTTACAAGCTGAGACTCGATCCACTTTATCACTTCCTATTTTCTTTCCTCGTCAGACAACAGTTCAGTTACTTCGACAGACGTAACTGAACTTGCAGAATCTCCAGGACATCGACAGATCCAAGATAATTCAAGATGGTCGAAACTCCATTTCGTCTCGGGGTGATCTCGGAAACGGAATACCACGTTCTCTCGAAATCATAGTCCAAAATAAAATCTGTTCAAGTCAACGGAGAATATATGGAAAAAAAGGATCAGAATATCGTATTGTAGAAATGTTCTGCATATGTTGTTTTTGAATTATTCATAGCCAAATTAAATTTTAATTGAAAAGATTTTCAAAAAATTTTGAACAATAAAAAAAGAGTAATGCATTTTTTATAATACGAGAAATATATAATCTTGTTGTCTCAAAGTTGTAATAAAATTTAATATTAATTGATCTCGCCAAAATAATTGTTCGTGCATTAAAAATTAAGAAATATACCATTTGTAACGTTCATCGTCTACCACATTTTCGACCTCCCACGTCGGATTGATTTCGCGCACTGTGGATGGAAGTAAACGAGATAGCAAACGTATCGATGTCTCAGGAGCGAACCGATAATACACAGCGATGCTGCTCGGTCGAATCAACGCGGTCTGTGAGGTCTGTCTGTTATGAAAGGAGAGACGCGGAATGTCGATTCAGATATTAAATTTCCTAGCGCCCGGTGCGGTCCCCTGCAATGCGCGTCACGAGGCTCGTTTCTATTTCCCACAGGATCCCGTCAGGCTCCTGTCGGGATGCATTGCTCTCCCCGTTCGCTTATACGATGTCCGCTTTTATCCAGCCATGTTACTGGACTCGTAATGGCCGGGCCTGTCTCAGGACGGCGATGAGTGGTCCAGTTTCGACCGCATCGTCCAAATGAAACAGTGTACGTTTTTTTTATTGTGACCGGAAAAGCAATTTGTTGCACGTGAGGTGCATAGGTCACGTTTGCTTAAAAAAAAAATTGCTCTGAGTTTCGTCGAGTAATTTATAATTTTAAAAAAACGTGTCAATTACAGGTCTTTTAACTGTTTAAATTAAATAATTAATTTTCTCTGAGACACAAATTGGAAATTATGTCTTACGCTAATTGTAAGATATATCATTTGTTAATAAATATTTCTAATTATAAAAAATACTTTGTAATTTAAATATATTTAAAGCTTCAAAATTTCTTTTAGATCAAAGTAACTTTTATTATCTTCAGAAGAAATTTTGAAAATTGAAAAGAAAAAGAACAAAGAGATAAAAGTTTAAAATCCCGAAATAGATAAATTCTCATCCAGCTATAGAGATAAAAGACTCGAACTTGTATTCGTAGCCGATCAGGCGGCTAATTTTCCTGCGTGTTCGGGACGCCTCGGGAATCAAGAAAATCGAATTTGTACCCTCGACGAAGCGCAGAAAGCTTTCAGAGAGTTCTGACATTCGATTTCAAAGCGTTCTTTTGAAGCGTATATCCTCCGTGCATCTATGAGCCTTTCAATTCTTCCTTTCAGTCATTAGACACGCATCTCGATTCCGATAAGGATCATATTTTCCGTCTATCAAGAGTCGGGGTTGACTTTTTCTTGCTACTAAAAGTCGAAAGTCTACACGGCTTGTGCTACTACTAACTCGTGACACTATTGTGAGTGTTGTATTTAATATAAAGAGAAAATCTAATTATTAAAGGTTTATTTAATCCCTCGTAATTAATTTTTTTATAATTGGAAAATTATGTTAAGAAAACTGAGAATAAAAATATTCCTATAAAAGTATTAAATAATAAATAGATGCATTTAGCGTTAAAATATCTATAATAGTATTACTTTGAAGAGAAGATTAAAAATTTATTAAGATATTTAAAATATTTTCGAATTTCATGTTGGCGATTTAAAGTTCCAAAGATTTTGTCGCGTGCTTTAATTACACTCGATATCATAAGACCTTTTTCTCGTTGCATCGAAAGAAGTAGGAGTTAAAGCGGGTGAATGGCGAGGGAGAGATGCAAGAAAATCATTAAGCGAATCCGTCGATAGCGAGGAACGTCGATAATTCCATGCTACGGCTTCGCCGAACGAGAGGGAGATTCATCCCTCAATCAGACCCCGCCCCAGAGATTTGTCAGATAAGAAGTTGTCCGCAATAAATTTCGCTTTCTCCCTACCGCCTATTACTTTGCCGTTTTTCCCTTTTCCTTTTACCTACCTACTCGCATCGACCGTTTCCCGTAACTCTAACTTCGTTCAACG